CAACTTATAATTATCCCTTAATTGTCTTTATTTTGTTTTGTTTTAAAAAAAATAACTTTTTTAATTTTATAATTTAGATTTTATTAAATTATAAAATAAAAATTATTAAATACGAAAAAAAGCCTATTTTATTAATCAGTTAAAATTATACAAACTTAAAACACTCTTAAGTGTAAAATACTTTTTCCTCCATTAAATTTTTACAGAGTAGAATTAGAAGTATAAGAGATTCGTCAATTGTAGTGAGGTGGCCAAATCTACGCCTCATTTTTCTGTCTTCAAGTCTCACTCATTCAGCAGCCACTGCCCTGCAAATCTGAACCCTTTCTTTTTTTTTTTGGGTTTTCCGATTACAATGACGAACAGAGTTTTCCCCTCCACCAAACCTACCAACACTGTTGTCGCCGCCATGAATGGTGCCGGAACCACGACTTCAACCACCAACGGTGGACCCACCAAGTCCAATCTTTATAATCCCACCTCTCGGCCTCCCTATCGCCCTCCTCCCTACAACTGCCGCCACCACTACCGCTCCCAACGCAACCTTTGCTGTCAATGTTGCTTCTGGTCCATTTTGATTCTCCTCATCCTTGCCCTCCTCGCTTCCATCGCCGACATAGTCCTCTACGTGATGTACCGACCATATTGTCCTTCCTTCTCCATCCCGGCGAAGTGGTGAGTGATCGACAATGAGAAGGTGGAGAGCAATGGTAGAGGAGAAGATGGACAGACAATGGAGGTTTCATCGTCGTCGGTGAGAGAAGAGAGTGCAAAGAAAATTCAATTTGAAGTCAAAATTCATGGGTTTGAGGGTGAAATTGAAATACATGAGTTTTAGCCTTTTGAATTACACAGGTGAAATACATGTATTTTTTTTAAATTCAATTATATTTTATTTAAATAAAAACAAATAGTGATATTGAATTTAAAAGGTTGAAATTCAAATACATTTCACCAAATTCATGTTCCCAAACTAACCATCATAGAATTAGAATTCATAATCAGATATTTTATGAGTTAATCACCCATTCGGTTGTAGATTGAAGCCCTGTGAAATCCCCTTTACACTATTCTAAGTGAATCTTGACTCTAACATAAATATGTAATGGTTGCTCTCCTTCAACAATAATAAAATAAAAAATTATAAGAGTTGGGTCAACTTGCACATGTTTAACCCAAACTAGTTTATAATTTTAATATAGTTATCAACAACTTAAATATCTTAGTAGTAATTTCTTTTTTATGAAAATAAAAAATCCTAAATTCAAATCACATGGCATACGGGTGGTAGGATGATATTATTGTCACACTTTCAATTATTAATAACACATATTTTTATATTAAATGACTATTATAACCTTTAATTTATTAAAAAAACAAAAAGTGTAGAATTTTGAGAAAAAAATATAATATAAGGGTATAATTGACAATTTCATTAAAAATGTGTAACATTAACTATTTAAAGTGAATCTTGACTCTAACATAAATATGTAATGGTTGCTCTCCTTCAACAATAATAAAATAAAAATTATGAGAGTTGGGTCAACTTGCACTTGTTTAACCCAAACTAGTTTATAATTTTAATATAGTTATCAACAACCTAAATATTTTAGTAGTAATTTATTCTCTATGGAAATAAAAAATCTTAAATTCAAATCACATGGCATACGGGTGGCAAGGTGATGTTATTGTCACACCTTCAGTTATTAATGACACATATTTTTATATTAATTGACTATTATGACCTTTAATTTATTGAAAAACAAAGTGTAGAATTTAAAGAAAAAAATATAATGTAAGGGTATAATAGATAATTTCATTAAAAATGTGTGACATTAACTATTTAAAATGTGACAATAACTCCACTCTAAGTGAGATGGCTTAAGGAATGAGAAAAGATTATCTCCCAATATGCAACTCAAGATTAAAAAGGAAAAAATATTCAATGTAGTTAATATTGTAACAAATTATTCTATTTATGTAGATTATGAACATGTCAAATTTTAAATTGATTTAACATCTATAATAATTCAAAATTATTTTCTAACATATATTTAAATAGTACAAAAATCTTAACAATTTATCGTTACAAATAATTGAGATTTATTATGACTTTTTAAATTAAAAAAAATGATTATGTGTGTTCACTCCACGTTTTATCTTATTTTTTAAAAATAATTATTCTTTTATCTAGAAAGTTTTAATAAATTTCAACTATTCATAGTAAAAAAATAAATTATCAAAATTTTGTATAAATAATATTTATAAAAATTTATATAAGTTAATCCTAACTCTAGTTTACATGAATTGTTTAGAGTCAAGAATGGAATGAGATTTCAAGTTGTTTGCCTGTAAAGACTGAAAAGTAAGAAAAAATTCAATAAAAATATTTTAAAAAAAGAGTGTTCTAGAAAATTGAGAGGAAGGAATGGATTCCAAGTGTGCTTTATGCATTAAATTAAGTTCCATAAAACATAATTGCATATGCAAGATCCTCTAAAAGACTAAAACCTTCACCTGAAGCAAAAAGGCGCACAATTATTGATCTCTTGTGGGTCTCCATATACAGCTACCTTGAAATGAATCATACCCTAAGTTTCTTTAAACATTTGATTGCAGGACAAATACCAACCCATTACGAGAACGAATTAACAGAACATGGACTTGACACCACTTATGGAAAAGAAATCAAAGAAAAGCATACCAAAACAAGGGGTGGCGTTATTGCCACAGCCACTAATGTTAATACCACAGCTTTTTTTAATTATTTGACTATTATACCCCTCATTTGAATCCAACTTGCAGCAGTCACCACCTTCTCGGCGTGGGTTAATGGTCAATTAATTAAAAAAGCTGTGGTGTTAACCTTTGAAGCTGTGGCAATAACACCACCCCAAAACAAGAATCCAATGTTAGTGTCTTTCCCAGGGGATGCCGGGATGTAATTTGCACATACCCCTTCTAGGGAATTTTGGAGGGTGTAAACTTGCCATATTCCTAAAAAACGTATCCAATGTTAGGGATTGGATTACATCCTATGATCCAAACTATCAATGATATTCCATCTACTTTGTTCCTCAAATGTTACGTTTTTATGTAACGAATAAATGCTAAAGTTTATATCTCTTAAGAACTATAGTGAAAAAAATGATTTAACCCTACTTAAAGACATAATGATCATTTTGTCTATTATGGGTATGGAATCCCATCCCATAAAAGACCTCGGAGTACACACTTTCCAAAATAACTATTGGGAAGAAAAAGGATTTACCCCTATTTATCAGACAGTTTACAAGGTAATGTTGGATCTTTATCTAGACTAAATAAAGTTGGATGGAGTTTCATTTCAATATGGCTTGCACGGTTCTATGCATCTGGGTCCTATGACGGTCAGAGGCAACATGCCATGTTTGTCTAAAGGAAAAACTCTCTTGGTCCTACGATTAACATGCGCTGTCTTTGGGTTCTAGCTAAGATTCTGACATTTTACCTGATGATAATTCAAGAACACAATCTCATGCAGAGATTGACATATAATTTGCAGATAAATAAGATTAATGTATGCTCGCAAATGTGTTTGCATTTCTGTAATTATATATAAAGTTCCATGGAATTAAGCATTATGGACTAGTTAATGTTCGTCCAGGTCTTTGAAATCTCTACTGTACAACAGAATTTTGGTGCTCATTCAGATATGTTTCTGCAAGAGCAGTGTGTAACGCTGCTCCAATAGGGAGGACATTCTCATCCACAAAGAAGTGAGGAGAGTGAGGGGAGTAAACTGCCCCAATTTCTTCGTTTCTGATTCCGATGCTTAGCATGAATCCTGGAATCAGTTCTCCATAGAATGCAAAGTCCTCTCCCGCCATAACCTTGTTGCCTACCTTGACATTGTCAGAACCAAGCAAAAGCTTGCCGATCCTCCCAACATGGTGATGCAGGTTATTGTCATTCACCACGGCAGGGTATGCAGGATACTCTTCTTCAATGAAGTCAATATGTGCATTACATCTGTGAACACCTGCCTGCCCCTCTATGACCTACAACAAGCAGCAATATACACCTGTAACTAACTTTGAACATGTATTAACTTATCCATTTCATCTTCTGCTAAGAAACAAATCAGTTGGAGCTGAAAAACTTACAATGGTTAAAACCCAAGTCTCCAAGATATATATATAAAAGGTATAATGCAATAAACATGTCTAACCGATAACTCTGCTTAGGATGAGGCAACAAGCAACACAAGATACTCACACTGCACCCAAATTAATGTGCTGGGCTCCTTGAACACAAAAATTAATTGACTTGGAAGTCTGAAATAATCAGAACAAGGATTTCTTCTGCTAGAAAAAGAGATTCCTCTGTTGTATAAAATATCTTAAGCGGCAATGAATGGGGTACAAGAATTCATTCATCTTTTTTTATGCAACATTTAGAGCCTGTTTGGTGGAGCTCCTAAGAGCTTTAACTTTTTGATACTATTCATGTTTCATAAGTTTAAATTTCCCTCTTAAAAACTTACACTTTAAAATTTTTTTTTTTAACCTTAAAAAGATCTCAAACAGTAAAAGCTCAAAAACTTCAAATCCAAACTTTTCATAAACTCCCTTTTTACTCACTTTTTCCTATCTCTAAAAGCAACTTTTAAATTTTCCCTCCAATAAAAATTTAAACTTATCACTTATAACAGTACTCAAAAAGCAAAAGCTCTCACAAGCCAAACCAAACAAGCTCTTAGTTATTCAGTAACTGAAGCTGAAAGACCTGCAAACTTTGAACTACAAGCATGTTACCTAGCCCTTGTGAGTTCAAAAAACAATAATTCATCATCTATGGTAAAATGATTAGGAAATGCAATATACCTCTTTCAACCTCTGTCGAAGTTTATGCAAGCCTTCAGTGGTAAGACTCCTCAGAGTTCCCCCAAATTCAATATAGCCTGGAATTACATTGAGTGCAGCCCCACCTCTGACATAAGTAACAGAGAGCACCTTTAAGTAGAAAACAAAGTTCATTACTCGTTGCACTAGGTGCATTTTGTGCATATCCAAATAGAAGAAAGATACCAAAATTTCCTAACAAAATAAGCACAAAAGTTAACTATATGGTTACATTTATCTCAGGGAATATATTCAGCTTTCCCAGAAGAGTTCATTGAAAAGTTGAATTGCCATGTTTGGTGTAGTTTCTTGTTGCCATTTAACGAAATAATGGGGGAAACATATGCTTCCCTTTGCCAAAAACTTACCAAGTTACCTAGGAAACTCATTCCCACAAAAATGGGAGGGCAAGTTAATATAATTTAGAAACATATTTTTATTTAGGTACATAGGGCAGTGCACTTATGCACAGATTAATCTAGAGGCACAAGGCCTACAAACACCTAGGAGGTCCTCCATTATTCTTTGTGTAACTACCACAGATGGAACTTCAAAGTAGTGCCATCCCTTGTCCAGATGATAAAATTTCGAAGCCATGGCATCTGCACCAATATTAGCTTCCCTAACTACGTGATGGATTTCACACTGCCAATCCCTTTGCAAGAGCTCTCGACATCTACTGACCAAAACTCCATGAGGATCAAGATTGATTGTTCCATGCATAATTTAGAAACATATTGTGCCACCAAGTCTTGCCAGTTGACTTCTGTGCAAAGAATACAACATTCTAAACTTCCTACACAGTGCAAGGCACACATCCTCAAAAGCCGTAAGTGAACTAGATTCAGATTTTAAAGATACCACTCAAAGAGTTTAGATATACATTCTGTCAAAGTTATCAAGCAACCAGATCAAACCAGTACCCATCATTGTTAGAAAGAAAGCTACCATAAGTTTGTCAGGGATAATGGACAAGAAAATAGAAACATACTGCACTATGGAGAGGATCAGCTTCTCTGGAGATCAGCTGTTGCAATGCCAAGACTGCAAAAGATGCAGCAACTATTGGATCCACAGTAAAATGTGGCTGTGCAGCATGCCCACCCTTGCCTTCTATCTTGACTTTGAAGAAGCTTACAGCAGCTGACAGTGGCCCTGAAACCAATGCTATGCTTCCTGTGGGTAGTTCACTACCAATGTGCATTGCAAATATTGCTTCAGCATCACCTAGAGCTCTCTCTTTTATCATGTGAGCTGCACCGGCACCTCCTTCCTCTGCAGGTTGAAATAGAAGTCTCACAGTACCCTTCAGTCATGTATAAAGGAAAAGTTGTTAATTCTAAAGAAGTTGAAAGACATCAACAGAAAAATTACCTGACATTAATAGAGATTAAGGAGTGAGGATTCATCTGATTCAATTGAAGCAACATTATTGATCATGCAACATATTATTGATATAAGAAAGTGAAAATAACAAAACTCTGATTTTGCATAGACCTTAAACCTCATAAGATAGTCTTTTTTTATTATTGGCATGATAAGATAGTCATTTAAACAAAACAATCATTACAATAAGAACATAGTAAGCTTGGCTTCTTCATGCAAGCTTGGCATGAAATATTCTAAAACTGTCATCCATAGAACATATTTGTCATAAGTTAATTGAACTTAAACAAGATCACGTGAATGCATGA